GACCCTAGTTCTACCGTAGGACTTAGAGCTGAATGAAAGTAAGCTCAAAAAATAGATACAAAAAAAAAAGATCTCACTTACAATAAATAGTACTACTCCTGTATTTAGAGAACGCTGTGCATCAAATGTATGATATCTGCACTTAAATCCCTAAATAATAGATTTATTACACCTACTAGACTTATAAAACTCCCCTCTACATTGTTAAAATAAAATACTGATGAAACGGTTAGACTTAGCAGAGCTCCCTGTTATATGTTGATGATTTATAAATGGTATTTGTGATCTGTCTCCAATGATTTTTAGGTTACTTCTCCATATGTGAGCTTACCTACTTAATTCAAACAACATCCTACCCTTTCATCCACGCTTATATGTGCTTATCAAAGGGAATTTTATATCAGGACACGACAAGGATTGAACTCGTGATCTAAACCATTAGACTCATTAGCTCAAATAATGCGCCATTACCACTCAGCCACATGTCCTGGTGTCTATTCTACATCCTCAATTACACCATTACGCCTACCCCCCTGTTCCACACTCCCCCTCATCCAGTTTATTTGGTATTAAATTGAAGAAACACCGATATTTAGAGAAAACTATTTGGTCATTCAAACAACTTTCCATTATTGGTTGCTACTACTACTTGTTGAAATGAAGATTTTGTACGCAATAAAGGCTAATCAAAATGTATTTAAAATTCCAATAAATAGCAATAAACCAAAGCACATATGAGGAACAGACTGGGTACAATAAAATAGATGAGTAATTGAGTGGGTGAGTGAAGAAGAGAAAACAGATGAAAACATGGAACTATTTATATTGAAAGAAACATAGGGCACATATCCATAAGTGTGTATGGATAGTGCTTTTCCCTTTTCCTTTGCAAAAGGAAATTGTGGTGCCATTTCCTTTTTGGGGGTAATGGACTTCCTTTTGCAATGAACCTGAAAGGTTCATTTCCTTTTCCCTTCTTATGTTTATTTTCCTTTTTCAGCTTTAACTGTAGT